CTCTGCTTGATTTGACAGTGGACAATAAATAAGAGTAGGAGGATGTCATGCAACAAACGTCAACAGCTGCACACAAAGTCACGACATTGCTCTTATATGGTATCCAATTGCCTGCTGTACCAAAAGAGGGCCCTATAAGGGCAACTTTAACAGTTACACATAACTTATTTAATGAAAGCTGACACTTCTTGGACCAGGAAAACTTCTTGTGGTGAGGTGCCCCTGCAACACATCTTTAAATCCAGTAACCTTGTATCAACTCACTTTTCCACGAAAAACCCAGTCAAGTGTGAATGAGACACTCTCCTTTCTGGCACTTTGGGTCGGAGGCACTCTGATGGTTAATCTTTTCAATTTAACAACAGATTTCAAAATGCATGTTATCACTCTGCTCTAAAGCCATTCTCATGCGCTTGCCTCTTGCAAACTGGAGTTTGGCTGCAGCGTTTCAGCTTAAACGAGTGAATGGTTATTTCAGTCTATTTTGATCTCCAAGCATCTATTAGCATTTATATTACACTGAGACCTCCAGGCTGTTTACGATTGCTCAAAAAGGAACGGTAAAATGGAGTTAAAGCGCCCTGCACTCACAAATGTGTTTAGCTTGTTTTTATTTCATCCTGTGTTTGACCTTAACCGTGTAGGATGATGTACAGTCTGCTCAGAGTTTGACTGTTTCATTTCAAAATTTTCATTAAACACATGCTTGATTTTGTGAATTTGATTGGAAAGTTTCATTGTTGTCATCCAGCATGACTTACACAACTGTGATGTGAAAACCTGCACATGTATGAAGTACAAAGTAAAATATTCTAGAAAGAACATTTTACAGTATATAGCTTTAAAACATCGTTTATGACTGTAATTTCAGAAAATGGCACATGTGCTACTTGATACTGCACAGACAATTACATAAGTCATATAAATACTGTACAACTGTAAAATAAGGAATGATGCATTGTTACTTTTAAATGCACACTCCTCAACTGTGTTTTCTCTGCAACAAGGAGATTGCAACATTACAAACAATCAAAGAACGAAGCTGCCTGGAAAAGACAAAATGATTTTTTTTTTTAATGTATTGCCAAAGTTGTATTCACTGCAACAAATAGACTTGTTAAAAAATTATTTGTTATTTTCCTTGAAATTGGCATCACCTTCTATCGCAAGAAAAAACAAAGGAAAAAAAAACAAGCCTGTTAAAGTTACACGTGCAGTTTATAATCAGCAACATGCACTGAGTGTCTGAATGACTAACTGGATTAAAGGATTCTCAATAATTTAAACCAGTTTGATGAATGCATTTGACAAATGGTTGCCTGCAGGTGAGTTGGACAGGCATCATTGTTGACTTTGGCTACTTGGCACAATGGGATTTGAAATTGTTAATGCACGTATTAACCACAGTTCAGCTAATGGGGTAAAGTCTTGCTGGGCTTGATAACTTCTGTGTCATGCACACACTATACATGCTGAATATTATTCCCTTGAGCCCCTTCACACGCTTTGTGTTTGGTATTTGAACATAAAGGACTTCCTGAGCTACTTTACTGTATGTTTGGACCTCTTCAGACAGGTATGTCCTCTCTTCAAGGTTATTTGGTCACAGGACATGAGGGCTGAAGTATTATGGGACCAGTAAAAAGAGCGCTTGGAAACACTTCTTAGCAATCCCCAAGGTGGAACGGTCACGGGACCCCATTAACCTCCCTTTAGGGGTCTCTGGGTAACAAGGAAAAATAATCACATACTGTTTGGTTTGGCTTGGCGGTCCTATGCAGAAAACTTTTTTGCAGACAAAAGAGAAAACATATGTGTGCACTTACATATTTGTTATTTACAATGTGTGCAAGAGGAAAACACATTCTGAGAGTTATTTTTCTCCTCTAAGGGAGCTGTGTTCAGTGCATCTTTATTTCCCTCTGGTGTTGACAAGAGGAAAATGTCTTGTTGGGGAAAGTTTCAAAAGTGAAAGGCAGTAAGGGAGCTGTTTCTACTTCTACCCCTACCCACTGTAAAATGGTATCATTATCTGAAGGAAGAACATTTATCGAACTCTGTTTTAAACTCATATGGATGTAATTGTACATTTTGACAAACCTCATTCATTGACATTCACTTAAATGTGGCTTTTGAAATGCCTCACCTTAAACGTTTGAGAACTGGAATATTTAGCTCAAGCTAATAATGTTGCAAAGTCACTGAAGAAAACTTGCTTCCATTACACTTGGTTTTGTAGAAAGATTAGCTTTCTATAATACATTTTAAAGAGAGACAATGCTGGTCCTGAGGTAAAAGATCTTGAAGTTTCACAAGTTGCGAAAGCTTAAACTTGACAACAATAAGTAACTAAGAATGCAAAAGATATCTTAACATGCGGTTCTTAGTGTTTGAACTGGTATTGATACAAGAGGGCAAATCAGAAATCTAAGTTTAAACCTGCTTGAGGGAAATTTTGAAGGCCCTCACCAGTGAAGATTTTGTTTTATTTTATTTTTTTACCCTGTTAACACATCCATGTCCTGTATTTTTTTTTTTTTTATGCCAGAAGACACATCATAAATAAGATATCAACACCATGGCTGAGCATTTCCAACCTGACACTGCAACTTACCAATGACCATTTTCAAAGAACAGGTTCCGACTTCAGTGGTTTCACACATCACAAACCTAAGACTCAGATCAAATCCTCAAGGACTAAAATCCTTCCTACTTCACAGATAATTTTTCTTTTTCAGAATCGGTTTCTTGGTCAAACATGCATGGCTGAATTACTTACATATTCCACCTTTCCATTTTGTAATATAGGGTAGTTTTACAGTGTTTGAGAAGACTTGTAGGTGAGCTGTTGCGCTCAAGCTGCAGCCAGGACTACATAGATCTGTGCATTGTAGGGAAAGTAACGATGTAGCGTAGGCCTGCGCACTATTACAAAGCATTGAGGGATTATCGTAATGGAAAACTTTTGTGAATATGTAACTTTGACACTCAGAGATGAGATTTTAGAGGTTAAATCAAAGACCAGAAAGAGACTTTTTTTTTCAGAAAATATGTCACAAATAATGTAGTAGAAGAAATCTGAAATATTAATTTGATGCAGTAATAAAAACATGGCTTGGGTGTTTTTGTATAAAGTCAATAACACAAGAGTGTAAATAAAAAAATGTATATTTAAATTTGTGTAAGTGAAAATATAACAGTGCTGAACAGGTGAATGACTTAAATGGAGAAGTGAATGTTTGTGTAACTAAATTTATGTCATAAAATTATCCAAAAGAAAGGTTTTCTTCAGGCCAAAGATTGAACCGGTCATCAAAACCAAAGGTGGACATACTTAGCATTGAAAAAATAAGAGTTTTAAATGTCAGTATTGAGCGATACACTGACTTGTGTTGCACTGAGTTCTTACAGTGGGACCTGTATTTTTAAAATAGTCACTAACTGTTAGCTTTTTTAATGGTATATAGGAGAAAATACCCTACTGATGCAGTTATTGTAAGATGTTACCACTTTGAAAGTGATATATCCAATATTTACCTCTGTTGTTTACTGAATGGTTAACATGTTGGAGAGTGAGAAATTCTGTGTAAACAATAAGGTTAAAGAAGTCTCATTCAAGATTTTGCACAAAATGTATCCAGTATAAAAAAACTTTGGCAAGGTGTAATATTGATAATGACTAATTGTGCAAATTCAGTGAGAAGGAGCAGGAAACAATTCTTCATCTGTTTCATCAATGTTCACTTTCAAAAGCAGTCTGGACAAATGTGCAGCATTATTTAAGGACAATAACAGGACAAGGCATTACTTTACAAGGAAAGGACATTATCATTCATTTTGAACAAAACTTGGATGAGGATATAATCTTCTTTGTTCAGCTAATCCTGATGCTCGGAAAATTCCACATCCATAAGAAAAGATGGACAGAAACCAATCTTTTTATTTTGGAGCTGCAGCAATATGCCACCACAGTTAAAGACTGTAAAAAACAAGAAAGCTGTCAGAACAAACCGTGTGCTTTTAAATCTCATAATCTTTACAAATGATGAATGAATATGGGTAATCTACACTAGCTGGTTATTATTATTATGGTTGTCATACTGCGTTTTGTGCATTTTGTGAATGATTTTTCTTTTTCTCTTTTTGTTTCTTTTTCTTGGGGGGGGTTGTTGTATTTCTGTGTGTGTGTGTGTGTGTGTGTGTGTGTGTGTGTGTGTGTGTGTGTGTGTGTGTGTGTGTGTGTTTGTAACTGTATTGGTTGTGATCTGTAGTTGTGTCAAGGAATAAATCAATTAAATAAAAAATAAAAATGTTGGAAGGACAACAGTAAAGCTATAACTCGCTTTTTCTTCACGTACAGTGTTTCACCAGCAGGGGGTGCTGTCCACCAACACTGCTGGCCAGTTGCGTTCCTCCGGTAAACAATACGAAGCTCCTCTCTAACCGGCTTTACTGTTCAGTCAAACCGAAACAAAGAAGTGACTCCGTTGCTCAAACAGCTGCTTTTAAAGGCGTCGCGATACTTTATCACAGTTCCGAGCAAAGCAACACTGCGCATGTGCTGCTCTCCCAGTTTGACAACCTCGTGCATTTCCTCTGACCATATAAAGGCACCGCAGAGAGGAGGAAGGTAAACGAAGAGGTGTTACTCGGTGTGGATTTGTGGCACCAAAAGGTGACGAAACTTCATCGCAGCAACATCGGGAAATGTTACGAGATCCGCTTTGTTGTTTAAGAAACCACTTACGAACTAAATGCAACATATTTAAACTATCCTGAGATAAAATGCGCGATTCTGGTGTCATTTTATGCATTGTTTATCTAAAGGAGGTTTATTTGTTATTTCTGTTGCCGTGTTTACAGGGAGGCTCCTGTATCCTCTGTGATATAGGAGATGAGCTTTCTTGCCAAATATAGACGATCTTTGCAGGATCGAGCCTGGCACCACAGTGCTCACACATGTCTTCATCCTCTTGGTCCAGGCGTGGTTTTCAGATGGGTGTGGTTGCTTCTACAGGGAAGTTTAGTCTCTCACCACAAAGTCGAACAGTGGATACACAACATGCCGAGTAAATCATGAGTGAAATCTGAAGAAGAAGAAAAATAACTTCAAGGGGCATGTGAGAATCTGTGAGGATCCTGGTGTTTTGTTTTGTTTTTAATTACATCCAAAGTCTTGGAAAGGTTGAGAGTTTTGCCAGACAGGATTGGAGCTCACAGAGTGATTAAGGTAAATGTCACGTGTGTCACATGAATTTAATGTGTGCAAGTTTTGTTTTTTTCTTTCTCAGAGAGATACTAACTTGATCTTTATATAATGCTGACTGTTGAAATGTTTTTGTGAACACTTTGTTCAGCAGTACTTCCATCTTATCACCACCTTCATGTAGATGCAGCTATAAAATGTCACATTTTATTGGACTACCAATAAAACCAGTCTGATTGTAGGAGTTGTGCTTCTCAGTGATGTGGAGCAGCTGCTTTAACTACAGTGCAACTGGCCTGATCTGTAACTAATGTTAATACTGCAGAGCATAACTGACATTACATTTACTTTTATGAAATGTGCCAACAAAACCACAGCCTAGTTATGGGTTCTGCTATGAATAGTTGATGATTTCCCCATTGCTGAGAAGATCATGTGTTACTCTTGCTCTGTGATTGGCCAGTTGTACGCTGCTCATTTCAGCTCAAAGGTTCCAGAAACAAGAAAGACCTGTCAAAGAAATTCTTCATGTCATAGGGGACTGTGAGAACAGTTGGCGCTGAAGCCCGGGGCTGCGCTGTCTGATAACTTTGTTTGAGAGAGTTAAATAATGACTCAAGTAAGGTGTGACATGGTGATTTTAAAGCATTTACTTTTACAGAACCATGGGCCTCCTGCAGCTGCTGAAATCCCAGGTCTTGTGCCTCCTGATCATCTGCTATGTGTTCCTGGCCAGCGGCCTCATTGTCAACCTGTTGCAGTTCTGCACTTTACCTCTGTGGCTGATCAATAAGCAGCTGGCTCGCAAGATCAACATCAGACTGGCCTACTGCATCAGCAGCCGTGAGTACTGTCCTCCCTCTCAGCCACACAGATGCCACTGACGTCTGTTGTGTTTGTTTTGCAGCCGAGTGGAATTTCAGTGATAACATTCTTGCAATGAACAAGGTCAGATTAAGGTCCCATATCACCATTTTTTAAATTGTGTGTATTGTTGTTCTATGCTTGTTATAAACGTGGAGTAAAAGCCGATAAGATGTGGTGTTTACTTTTGTTCTTCCAGCCCCCATAAAGAACTAGTTAGCCTCCCAGCTTTACAAGTCAGTGAGTTTTACTGAGCTACTACAAACCAATTAATGAACAATATTCGTCTAACACAAACTTTGCATAATCCTACCCTCTTGCTGTCTGCTGCTTCCAATTTAAGCCATTCAGAATAAGCAGCTGCCCCTGCCTCCACTGGGTTTATTAACTTTTGCCTGAGTTTGCTAACTCTAAAATGTCCCAGCCATGAGCAAAGCACACCAAAAGTTCTGCTGTTGGTCGCAGGAATGAACACAAGCGTCTTCATGCACTTGCAGCATCTGAAAAACTGAAGACCCAGTGGATTACTTAAATTTTTTGATGACTATTTCACCACAACAATCAGAAAATAGTAAGTGTTAGTGCTTTTTGCAGCTGATGTAGCTTGTGCGACTATAGCTTTGATTGTATGCCCACAGGTCTGAGCTTTGTTTTAAAAAGTTGAGGGGCAGTCAGAGAAACTATAGATCGATTTGAAACCAGTAAACAAGGACTAAACTCAGCCTGTGTTGTTTCTTTCCTGCTCACATATGCTTTATTCAAATACAGCTGAATTCTCAATTAAGTTCTTCTCCTTTACATATTCTTCTGTTTCTGCTGTTAGACAACAGGAGTATAAGATAATGACTGAAATGCAGCCGATTCCAACTACATGTTTACCATCAATTACTTCAGATTTCCAAGCTGCTACTCTGTACTGTTAAACTACTGATTTATAACTGCTGTGACATCTGATAAACTCGCCAGACACATACGTTACAAATAATAATTTTGCTGTGAATTTGTTGATATAAAATGACGGCTTAGAGAGAAAATCAGAGTCTCACAACACATTCCGTTTGTGTTGAATGTTTTGCTCTGCACTGTTAATCACTGACCCAGAGAGAGTCATCTTCCTGAATGGGGCATAGACAAAAGCATTTAAAGTGAAGGGCGCTGAAACAGCCCACTTAGAACAGCACCAAGACCAGGAGTTATATACAGTCACGGCAAGATGAACCATTTTTGCATTATTTAGAGCTGAAGGTTTAAAGACATTTTCAGGGACATGTAAAAACTTTCATTGTTTGCTGACATTTAAAGTATGTTGTTTGCGTTCAAACGGACCTATCCACAATGTGTCTCCTTCATCCATAGAGATGGTGGCTACCCTGGAGTGGTGGTCTGGGACAGAGTGCACCCTCTACACCGACCCGAAGACTTATCCACTGTATGGAAAGGAGAATGCAATTGTGGTTCTCAACCACATGTTTGAGATCGACTTCCTGTGTGGCTGGACCTTCTGTGACAGATTTGGCGTTCTTGGGGTAAGAGAAAGTGTCCAAGAAAACCACAAGCTTACCATTTCTCAACCTTGAGGGTTTTAAGGCAATTCAGTGCGATGCTTCAGTTTTTTAATGTTTTCGACTTCCAGAGCTCAAAGGTGTTAGCCAAAAAAGACTTGGCTTACGTACCAGTTATTGGCTGGATGTGGTACTTCCTGGAGATAGTTTTCTGCAAACGCAAATGGGAGGAGGACCGAATCACGGTGGCTCAGAGTCTTCAGAGGCTGCAGGATTACCCAGAAAACTTTTGGGTGGGTATTAGCCCATGGAAATGATTACAAATCAGAATGAGTGAGTGTGATCTTTTTTAGAGTCGGACTGATGGAATATTGGCAAAAAACTTTTTCCTTTTTCTGCCACAAGTTCTTGCTTTACTGTGAAGGAACACGCTTCACACCAAAGAAGCACCAGATCAGCATGCAGGTGGCTGAGACCAAAGGTTTGCCCAAACTGAAGTATCATCTTTTGCCAAGGACCAAGGGATTCTGGGTGACTGTCCAAAACCTAAGAGGGAAAGGTGAGCATCCATCTTTCGGGATGTGTTTAAATAATGCCACTGGAAAATATCAGCTACTGTGAGCTCATGGATTTGCAAATCAAATGAGCCCCACAGCTAACTGCTGTCATGCACCTTGTCTTGTGTAGCTGCAGCTGTTTATGACTCCACGCTCAACTTCAGGAACAATGAATCGCCAACCTTGCTTGAAATTCTTAGCGGGAAGAAATTTCACGCAGATTTATATGTGAGGTAAGAAGAAATGTTGTGCTGCGTTACATTTCCTGCCAACCAGTGTTTGGATCTGTGTGATTTGACCCCCCCGCCTCCTTACTTACAGGAGAATTCCTCTAGAGTCGATCCCAGAGGATGAGGCGGAGTGCGCTGCTTGGCTGCACAAACTTTACCAGGAAAAGGTGAGAGTGTGTTGGAGGTGAAAGGTTCTGATGGATACAGGGTTTTCCTCTGGGAACCACTGAGTAGAGGCAGTAAACTACCAATAAATCCTGAAGGCCTGAAGAGTAGTATTTATATATGTGGCATTTAAAGCAGTGCTGCATATCTTTTACCCTAAAAGTTGATGTCTTGCTTCATAATGGTTGGAAAACTGAACAAATACAATCCAAATTTTTCAACCCAATTTACTTGACATTCTACTGAGGGTAACAAAATTTTATGAAAGCATACAAACTTATTTAATAATGTGGATTCTGGTTTGATTTTGCGCCAACGAACCAGCTATACAATAGAAAGCAAAGGCCACACCTTTCCAATAGTGTAGCATAGAGGCGGGTCCAACCTATTGTGGAGGTGTTTTGCAACTGTGGGAACTGGTAAACCCTGCAGCGTGACTGGTTTCATGTCATTTTTGACTATGCCAGACCATTTTAAAGAAGAATGCGGTGTCCTCAGTGGGTACATTGCATTCTTGGGCTTTCCAGCCAGACAATGTTGGCCAAGTCAACCAAAGCTTGTTTCTCAGTCCCTGGATTTGAATCCAAGTTTGAAAACCGTGACAGCACATAAAACAAAGAATATGAGCGAGCTGGAAGGTTTTGCTCCAAGAAGAACGGGCAGAAATACAAACAGGAGTTGTCAGATGCTTGTGAGAAGCATTTACTGGAGGTCATAAAGCAGTGAATCACTTTGCTTATGGACGTGTTTGGAGAAAATGTTGTTTATCCTTAGTACTGGTAAACTGTATTATAAGTGGATAATGATGAGGTGGTGTTAATATTAGGTGAAGTGGGCAGACTTCACTGTATGACACTGTGCAAACCCCGGGAATGTTTTTCTATTGTCAGTTTTCTGTCCACTCACTTCATAACCTAACTTGTTAATCAGAACATCCTAATGTTAAATATTATACATGCTGGTTAGATTTTGGGTCCTGCCTTTTTGTTTTGTTTTGTTTTGTTTTGAGTAACGACACCAACATGACCCTCAAAGAAGAAACTTCAGCCTTGTGTTTGCATTGAGTTGTGTAATGTGCCAACAGGATAGTTTTCAGGAGCACTACGAGCAGACGGGGCGTTTTCCTGGTCCCACTCTGAGCCCTCCTCGTCGACCCTGGTCCTTGATCAACTGGCTGTTCTGGTCCTTTTTGCTGCTCTGCCCTCTAGGCCTGCTGCTCACTCAGCTGATCAGCTCTGGATCAGTGTTTACCATTGTATTCTCCCTGGTCGTCTGTTATTCAGGTTAGTTTCTTACATTCACACGCAAAAACCCAGAGTCACCCTGTTATGGGTCGAAGGGTCCATCCCTCCATTTAACCAGCTCCTTTTTGTTCCACAATGCAGCAGACTTGACAACCCAAATGTAAGTCCGCCCCTTTTTTTTGGAAAATACATCAGTCTTGGGAGCATGTCGTCAATGGCATTCAGGCATGTGCTTACTAAACAAAGTTCATCCATTTGAACAGTTACATAAATAAAGACTGTGTAATAGCATGGGTTTATGAGGAGCATTTACAGTTTCTACAATAAATAAAAGCCCATGTTTGTTGTTGAGGTTAGAATGACAAACTTGAAGCAGAGAGCTCTAACTTTTGTGTTTATTTATTAAGTGTCAGTTTAATTGGAACTAAGGCTATGTTCAGACTGCAGGACTTAATGCTCAATTCGGATTTTTTTTGTGAGTTCATTCACATTCCCAATAAAATGCGACTTGTATGTGATCTCCTGTGTGAAATTCATACGATCCAAAAGTGTCCCGCTTGAGCAGAAGAGGACACAACGCTGTCACATGCAGCGAGCGTGCTCAGTGTTTGTGGAAGTAAACATGGATGGTAACGGAGCGTATCTTGCGATTTCAAAGTTGTTGTCCAACCGGAGCCAGCACATTTACAGCGTAATCGTTTTAAAGAGAAGATTATGAAGGAAGAAAGCCAGGTTTTTGACCATGGTGTTTTGTGGGAAACGTCTGTACAGAGAAATGTGTGGGTGCAGAGTCGCAGCCAGGAGTGTATCAATGACGTGAAGGTCAGATAAATGCGACCTGGCTGTTCAGACAGAAGTTGCATGGCAAAAGGTCAGATACCAATCGGATTTAGGACCACATATCCAAGTGGCCTTGGTGGCATTTGAAAAAATCGGATCTGTGTTGTTCAGACTGACATGAAAAAATCAGATACAGGTCGCGTAGGGGCAAAAAACTTTACCTTGATGTCTGAACATAGCCTAAGTTGTGTGTAATACTTCTCAAAGTGTCAAACTCAACTACATCACTAAATTCTTATCCCTAAAAAATCTTCATCCTTTGAAGGAAATCAAACATAGAATTTACTGTGAAAGTAAGCATGTCCTGCACACAACCTGTCACCTCTTCTTTTTGGACTTGATCTAACCTTTCTGATCCTTGTTTGTTTTGTTGTTTTTTGTTTTTTACAGCTACAGTGGCAGTTCGCTGGATGATCGGCCAGACTGAGATTGACAGAGGTTCAAACTATGGCAATAAGGAAGCTCCTCTAAACAACAACTAAGGATTTCTGACTTACTCAGAGCTGCTTCTTTGCACAGCTACTAATCTGCAAGTTGCCAGTCTGGCAGGAATCTGTTGGTCCGACAAGTCCGGACTAGCTTCGACGCACAGCGCAGACAGCATGGTCTCTCTTTAACGCTATGCTGCAGAAGCTCAGTATGTAAGATCATGAAAAGTGGATCGTGGTGAACAGCAACAATGAAAGGACAGGCAAGATGAAAAATGGCTTTACGACATCAGATGAGAGTGGTAGCATTTGAATACAAACATATTCACTTATCATTGAATTAACCAAATGAAAAATGGACTACCTCTTTTGATTGCAAAGTAATGCTTAAATGGCATTTTCAAGGTAAAGGAAAATAAACATTTCACTTTTTAAAAAAAACATATTGCGTAATCAATGTGGTTTGTACTGTAAATGACCTGAAATTGCGAATCGAGTCGAGTGTTTTTCTGCTTCTGTGGAAGTGTGTTGTGTTCAGCAGCATTAAGGGGAAGCAGGGGCCTCTTTCTCAGTCAAATGAACAGCTCTTCACAAGAAAACAGATTTGCTGCGAAAGCCCTCGAGGGCTTTAACTCGACGTTCGTTCTTCTGCGAAGTATTGTACTGTAAGTATGAGAATATTCGTAGAGCAGGAACAGACGCTAAAGCCGTGTCTTACCTTGATTCCATTGTTCATGATGTAGAAGCTGTTCTCAGTCAGATCTCTGCAGGTTAAGATAGAAGTTGCTGCCTGAGTTACAAGCCACTTGCATGTGTTTTTAATAAATAAAGAAATTGATATGCTGCACTGTTACACAACAACTACGCTCCACATGTGCACTGCTTGCCGAGAGTGAAGGAAGAATAGTAAGCCAGTATTTCAATTAGTCTCAGTCACTGGAGTTACAAATCAATATCTTGGCATTGATGGCTTTCATCGGTGCATTGAGCAGTCGCCCAAACTCCAGTTGTCTGCAGGAGATCTATAACCTTCATCATGCTCTTGTGATAACTTTACGTGCCATGTGTGCTGATAAAGAGAGGGAAGATGGTGAAAAATCAGTAAGCAGTAATATGTGCATCCACTGAATTGTGAAAGTTTGCATCACACTCTTTGCAAAGCCACACTTGCATAAAAGGAGGAAAAAAGGAAACTTCAAACCACAGAGACACCTGGTGGTAGCATGCAAACAGGACACACTATATTTTTTTCCCCTGTCCCCTGGTGTGGTGCGAGCAGTTTGAACTGTCATGGTCATCAGGTTTAATCGGGTCTGACAGTGTCTCAGTGTTTCGGCTTCTCAAATCCAAAAAGCAGAAGCAAAGTTGACATTGTCATTTTTGGAATTACACAAGGGATGCAGGTAAATGAGAAAGCTAAAGGATAGACAGTGACACCGGGTTCTGATTAATGGTGGACAGTGGAGTCTTCAAGCTGTTGGCTGTAGTTATCTGTTAACTGTACAGTTTGATCTCATTTTCTGCCGCTGCAGTCTCTCTCCTTTATTTATCCCTGCCTGAGATTGTTTTTTTCCTGCTTCTAAGTCACCTAGAAATTGCCTTCAATCCAGTGAGATTGTATTTTGAGCTTTTCCCCCTATACATTTTATGAGCCAGAGCGTGACGGAAATGCCCGAGGTGGCCCAAATTGAAAGATTTAGAGTGATGATCCTGGACAGGGCTGTGTTCTGATTAGATTTTTGATGTGGTGTCGTGAAGTCAAGCCTCACTGATTCACTCTTTCATATAAGAATGTGTTCTGTATTTTACAATTATTATTCGTATTATTTTTTGCTTGACTGCCTTTATTGTATAGGACGGTGAAAGAGAAACATGGGGAGAAGAGTGGAAAAAGGACAAGCAGCTAATGAGAGGCTGGCTGGAATCGAACCACAGCTGCTGCGTTGGGGACCACAGCCCCTGCACATGGCTCAATTATTAGGGTCCGAGCACCCAAAAGGGTGCGAAGACCCTATTGGAACTGCTCGGATTATTATTATTATTTGTGCCAAAGACACGCGTTTTTGAGGCCCTAAACATA